ATATCATAATTACAATATCAAATGTTCAGGACAGCCGAAACTGGTTTGGCTCAGTGGTAGAGAGTTGGTCTGCGGACTGAAAGGTCTCAGGTTCGATTCCGGTCAAGGGCATGTATGTTGGTTGTGGGCACATCTCCAGTGGGGGTTGTGCAAGAGGCAGCTGGTCGATGTTTCTCTCTCATTGACGTTTCTAGCTCTCTATCTCTCTCCCTTCCTCTCTGTAAAAAATCAATAAAATATATTTTTTAAAAATGTTCAGGACAAACAGAGTATCTTAAAAGCTGGGAGAGAGACACAGAAAGTAATGTATAAGGGATCTCCCATTAGGTTATCAAATGTTTTCTGAATAGAAACACATCAGGCCAAAAAAGAATGAAAGAAAATTTACAAAGTGATGCAAAGCAAGGGACTGAATCTAAGAATACTCTATTCAGCAAGGCTATCATTCAAAGTTGAAGGGGAAATAATGAACTTCACAAACCTCCAAAAAATAAATAAATAAAAAGGCTCAGGGAGTTTATAACTACCAAGCTAGCAATGCAAGAAATGGTAAATAAATGGTGCTGGGAAAATTGGACAGATACATGCAAATAAATGAAACAAGACCACCAACTTACACCATACACAAAAATAAACTCAAAATGCATAAAGGACTTAAATATAAGATGGGAAACCATAAAAAAAAACTAGAGGAATCCACAGGCAGAGAAATCTCAGACATGTGCCCAACCAATTTCTTCACTGATACTGCTCCTAGGGCAATGGAAACTAAAGAGAAAATAAATGGGACTACATAAAAATAAAAAGAATAAAAAGTTTTTGCAAAAAAGCAAAAGCAAACATAAACAAAACAACAAGCAAGCCCCACTGTATGGGAGAATATATTTCCAAATGTTATCACTGATAAAGGTTTAATCTCCAACATTTATAGGGAACTTATACAACTTAATAAAAGGAAGATAAATGATCCAATAAAAACATGAGCAATGGACCTAAATAGAATCCTTTCAAAAGAAGAAAGAAGTAAGGCAAGAGACATATGAAAACATGCTCAAAGTTACTAATCATCTGAGAGATTCAAATCAAAATGACAATGTGTTGCCATCTCACACCTGTCAGAATGGCTATCATCAAGAAATCAAGAAATGACGAGAGTGGTGGAGGACGTGGAGGAAAAGAAACCCTCCTGCACTGCTGTGGGAATGCAGACTGGTGCAGCCACTGTGGAGAACAGTATGGAGTTTCTTCAAAAAACTAAAAATAAAATTTTCATTTGACTTATTACTCAAAGGTCTGTGCTTTTCTACTGCACAACACTCAATAGCTGAAAATTTTCCCCATTTATTAAAAAAGGAACTCAGGTGCTCTCTAGTTGTCAGGTTTCATGTCAAAGTTGTAAAAGGGTAGTTTGGTGTTTGGCTATTTCACTGTTTCTTGACAATATTTATATGAGTTTTTAGAATTTTTGATCATGGGCCTAGAGATATTAAGCTAAGTGAGGTAAGTCAGATAGAGAAAGGCAAATGCCACACAACTTCACCTTTATGTGGAATCTAAAGAACAAAATAAATGAGCAAACAAAATAAAGCAGACTCATAGATACAGAGAACAAACTGATGTTTGTCAGATGTGAGGGTGTCAGGAGGGTAGGTGGAAAAGGTGAAGGAATTGAGAAGTACAAATTGGCAGTTAGAACACAGTCATGAGGATGTAAAGTATAGCATAAGGAATCCTATATAATAAAACCCTAATATGCAAATTGACCAAACAATGGAACGACTGGTTGCTATGATGTGCACTGACCATGAGGGGGCAGACGCTCAATGCAGGAGTTGCCCCCTGGTGATCAGTGTGCTTCAACAAGGGGACCACCACTCAGCCTGAAGCCCGGCTCATGGCTGGTGAGCACAGTGGCAGGGTGAGAGCCTCTCCTGCCTCTGCAGCAGTGCTAAGGACCAGTCAGACATCCCCCAAGGGTACCGGACTGCAAGAGGGTGCAGGCCTCACTGAGGGACATCCCCTCTCCCCGCACCCCACTGCATGTATGTCATGCACTGGACATCTAGTATAGTTAATAATATAGTAATAACTATGTATGGAATGAGGATACATCTAATCTTATTGGAGAAATAATGTTGTAAATTATATACCTATCTATTATCCTATATAGTAAAGAACAAATATTCTAATTAGACCAGATGGTGGAACAACCTTCCAGAATGACCAGTGGGCAGGGGGTGGGGCCAGAAACCTTGTGCTGCCAGGCTAGCCATGGCAGTCCTGGGCTCACCCTACCACCCGCTTCTGCAGAGATCATGGCACAGTCCTGGTCCTAGCACCTCTCTTTCTACAGAGGTTGGCCACAGGGTAATGAGCCTAAGCTGCAGTTGGACATCCCCTGATGGGGTCCCAGACTGTGAGAGGGTGCAGGCCTGACTGAATGACCCCAAGTGCACAGATTTTTGTGCACTCGACCTCTAGTAATATATATCTGCAGTGAATATAAAATATTGCATGTCCGTTTAATTGAAAAGATAATTTTAGGAAAAAATGACATATCAACTTGAAAAAAATATTTCATTGCCCTAGTCAGTTTGACTCAATGGATAGAGTGTCGGTCTGGGACCAAAGGGTCACAGGTTCAATCCCAGTCAAGAGCACATGAGCAGATTGTGGGCTCAATCCTCAGTAGGAGGCATGCAGGAAGCAGCCAATCAATGATTCTTTCTTATCACTGATGGTTCTATCTCTCCCTCCCTCTCTTTTCATTTCTGAAATCAATAAAAATAGATTTCAATAAATTTTACATTATAAATACTAAGGTAAAACAATATATCTGAGTGCAATACTAATTTCCATTTATCGATAGTTCTATGACTCTGGACCAACAGCATCAGGAAACTTGTTAAAAATGTAAATCTGGGACTCTACTCAAAATCTACTGAATCAGGAAATCTAAGGGTGAGGCCCACCATCTCTATTAACAATCCCCCAAAATGCTTCAGATGTATCCTCAAGTGGGAGAACCTCAACTGCTACACCAGTGGCTCTCAACTGAAGTTGATTTTGCTACCAAGGGAGGTGACCAAGAGCTGGAGACATTTTTTGTTGTCATAACTGAAATGGAAAGTGTTACTGACAGCCAATGGACAGTGGGCAGGGATCCTCCTCCGTATGCTATAAATGCACAGGAAAGCCCTATATCAAAGAATTGTCCACCCTATAATAACCATTATACCAAGGTTGAGAATCCCTTCTCTAAACTGAGCCTCCATTCTTTTGAGTAGACAAGAAATTAAACCTCACACATTGGTTTCTCTGTTTTGGGGCCTTAATCTTCAATTCCACAGCCTAATTCTAATTGCAGATAGACCAAAAGCACACAGATTCTTAGTCCAGGTGACTGTCTTTAGTCCAGTGCTCTCTTTGTTTCCAAGTGCCAAGATTTAGTGCTATTCCTGTTGAAATTTTGGGGCAGGAAACTCTCCCAACTACCCTGATCCAACCAGGACAAAAATTGCTCCAAATTTTTAGTTGAGCATACTTCTGAACTGCATAGAATTTAGGCATCCTGAAACAATGTGCCAAGGTCAAACGAAACAGTAGGCCCCTAAAATTCTCTCTTCTCAATAAATAGCCATCTCCCTGGGTCTGGGTCTTCTCATTCTCCATAAACCCAACCAAGGCTATTCCCATCACGAACCACTTCACTTCCACTTGTACAATCAAACACAAAGTCTCTTTATTTGGCGGATGGGTGGATTCAGAAAGTTCTGCTTTAATAAGCAACATTGAGTAGAATGTAGCATAGTTTTCTAATCCACTCATCTGCTGATGGGCATTTGGGCTGTTTCCAAATCTTAGCCATTGTGCATTGTGTTGCTATGAACATAGGGGCGCATATATCTTTCTGTTCAAAATAGAATACTATGCTGCTATAAAAAAAAGAAGAAGAAGAAGAAGGAATTTTTACCATTTGCAGCAGCATTGATGGAACTAGAGAGAATTATGTTGAGTGAAATAAGCCAGACAATGAAAGAAAATTACCACGTGATCTCACTCATTTATGGAAAATAAAGAACATTATAACCTGATGAACAGAAAGATAGATACAGAGGCAGTAATGCATTGAATAAACTGTCAAATTACAGCGGGAAGGCTGGGGAGTCTTGGGGAGTGGGAGAAAGAGATCAACCAAAACACTTATATGCATGCATATAAGCACAACAAATGGACACAAGACACTGGGGCCGTGGGATGAGGGCATGCAACATGGGGTAGGAGAAGCTGGGGAAATGTCAATGGGGGTGGAAAAAGAAAATATATGCACTACTACATGTAATACTTTAAATAATAATATAAAAGTAATTAGAATGGAATTAAAAGAAGCAGCATTGAATCATTTTCCCTGATGTGGGAGTGAGGAGGGTACAGGCTAATATAAGTTAGTCTTTTTCTTCAAAACTCTCCCTGCCATATCATGTACCCTGTGTTTAACCTAGTATGTCATACATATTTGTGTAAAATCTTTTAATTTATTGAGAAAGCAGCAACCAGAGGAGAGGACCTACTGAGCAGAGTCCACTTGCTGATCATTAAGAGAAAGACCATAGAAAGAGAAGAATAAGTCATAATGCTCAGAAATTATACCTCTCCCTGGAAAATCTGGCAAGGCTCTACACATTCACACACGATGAGTTCCAGGAGAAGCCATCTGGGCAGCATGCAGCTGATTGGAGTATCATGGAGATGCCCGGAAGCATGGGGGAACTAAACTATGTGTAGTGAGTGCCTGGGGCTGCGTCATCCTGAGCTATCTAAGGGAAGTCAGCAGTGACTTGAGTGCAGGGAACATGGTATTGAACATTCAAACTGTCTCCCCAGATCCCACTACTTTACTGATCATTACAATTATTATTGATCATTCTTTCTCTCTGCCCACCCATCCATTGCCCCAGCCACATGTTGTAGCCCATCTGATACTTGTTTGTAGGATGGAGTCACAGAGGCATACAGTTCCACTGGTTCCAAGTACAGGGCATGCGGATATGATGCAAATTGTAACTCATTTTCTGCATAATTTTGTTATTCTTGTCAACATGAGAATATATGGGGAAGCCAAGTTTGTTTAGAGCCTGGGTCTGGATATAGATGATATAGGAGATGAGGCCCTGCTTCCGGTACTCAGGCAGGGTGCCTGCCATCCGTATCTCTCCTGTCTGGTCCATCAGGTCCCAGCACACAGGGTTCCCCTCAGGCCCCAGCAGACAGAACGTGGGGAAGTTCTGTATACAGCGCTCGATGAATCTCTGGCTCCTCTCATTGCCACCAAAATGCCAGTATTTATTCACCAGGGCAGCGTGGGTAACATCCAGGGATGAGAGTTTAAACATTTCTTGATTGCTATGGAGGTTCCAAGAGAAAAGTAAAGTCCATGAGTACGCATTATATTTGTTGTTATCCCTATTCTCCACAATACATTTCTGAAAAAAAGATGATTTGGGCTGCTTTGAAGAATATTGACCGTAGGGGGAGGGACCAGGAGTAAAGCAGAAAGAGAAGTTGGGAGGCTACTTCAGGAATGGAAGGTGTGAGGAGTGCAGTGACTTTTTATCAAACTTACATGGCTTTGGGTTTGCCACCACCAGGTGGTAAGTTCTTTACATCCAACAAGGAAGGAATCAGTTTCTTTACAGTGTCAGGTTCCACATAGAGAAAGCGCTCTGTGTGCTTGACTTTGAAGGATTTCCTGGCTGCGAGATTTTGTATCACCTCATTGAGGTTGGATTGGGAACCTAGATGGGGTTTTAAGGAGACTGAAATTATTTCAGTTCATTTTATGGATAAGCTGTCCAGCGGAGAGGTACATGTCTACATTTACAGTCTAAAAACCTAGGTTCTGGCTTAGTATTGCTAACGTGTGATTACCTAGTCAGGATTTGCGCAATGAAGATGCTCAGAGATTCAATCAAAACCATGGTCATACCATTTGTGGAAATGCAAAGAAAAAAGAAAAACAAGTTTTCTGGGATACATGAACATATTTTTTTCATAATCATAGTGATGCATTATAAAAACAATAGTAGCCAACATCTCTTGTGTGCTTGCTCCGTTCATAGTATGGCAGATTGTTGCAGGAATAACCCACAATGTGCCCACATCTCTTTGTATCTTTTCCCTGGAATAGTCCCCTCCTGCACTGTATCTGACCTTGCCAACATGGCTTGCTTTTTCCACTGGGAAAGAGTAATTTTTTGATGCATGGAGAGGCTAAAGGGGGCTTTCACTATGGGCTTTCTTTGTGCTCCTGATTTCTTTGAGACTAACACTATATGGATAGGATTAGGCTAGTCATATAAGGACTTGTGCACCTGTCATGCTGTCACTATGATGGCCAGCACCAACAGTAAGAACCGTCATTCAGGCATGTGAGTGAGGCCATATTAGAGCAACTAGCACATAGTCCATCCATTAACACCCTACAGCTGCAAGAGGAAATCCAGCAGAAGAACTGCCTTGCAAAACCCAGTCCAAATGTTGATTCACAGAATTATGAGGTTTGTTATGCAGTCCTAGTTAATTGACACAGCCAGGTGTTGTGCTACACAATTTTCCTATACAACATGTTATCTAATCTTTTCAATACCTGTGTGTTTTAGCTACCATTGTTATCTTTGTTTTCATATATGACTCACTGAGGATAATTCAATTTCATATATAACTCACTGAGGCTAAGATGACATAGCAAGTAACAGGCAAATGCCATCCTAGGGAGTGTGATTCTGGATGGCACGCTCATAACCACGACGGTTTCCTTAATGACCTAAGAGGTGCTTTACGGCAGGACTTGAATTCCTATTCTTGGCATGGAAAGCCCTGGGGACCTGAGGGAAGCTCTACTCTGGCTCCTAATAATTTTAAGTGATGCTGGGTATGTCTGCAAAATATGGCATAAATTTTTGGCTATAAAGGCGTTATGCTGTTTCCCTATATGAAGCCCCTCCCCCCCCCTTTTTTTTTGCAAGCTTTGAGGATGTTTTCCCCCATTATAGGTTATATTCACAGCTGACTAAAAACAACTGACAGCAGGCTGAGGGTTTGAAGTATGGAGAAACACAGAGTCATAGGGGAAATTATCAGGGCAGAGTATACTTCCTACTCAGTTTACTTACTTTGGATCTGCAAATGCTGTTTCCAATTGATGACTTCTGGTGAAACAAGCAATTCTTGACAGTTATTGGGGTCCTTGGAGTAGATTTGGTATGTATTGGTGTAATGATCCCAGTTATCAACCATCTCCTGTTGTCGTTGGTGATCAGGAAATTAAGCAAAACCATGTAGTCCATAATTGCAATAGTTTTTATTTTATTCCATTATACTGTGATATATTTAAGTACTAAACTATTGGCATTTTTATTGATGAATTACAATTATTTATGAATCATTTAAATCATGTGATCAAGATGAGAGACTCGAGTATTCAATTTATGTTATAAAATTGCAGAACAATACTATTTTTAGCCTTATATTGCATTAAAATTTCAAATTAAACAAAGATAACTATTTAGAAAGCATTCTTCTGTATTTCCATCTTTCTCCTCAGGATGAATGACAAGCAGCTGACAAGGAAAAGTTTCTGTTGCAATAATAAATTTTACTACATTTCAAACAGGAGCAGAATACAAAAACTATGAACATGATAGTTTCAAATTTGGTTGCAGATTACTCTAGATTAAATCTCCATCTATATTTAATGAAGCCAAAGAAGATGAAAACTGGTTAGAAATGCATTCTTAAAACAATACAATGCTTATGCTCATTGTAGTTTTAGAAGAATCTTAGAAAGATTCCCTAAAATTATTTTTTAAAAAGAAGAAAAAAAAGATGAGATTATTAAAAAAAGGAAGCACACGAAAATATTACCAGGATTAGTTCAGAATTGAACAGCCTTTTTTAAAATAGTTAGAATATGTACAAAATGCACTCATGGTAAGCAATGATACCACTAATATATTTACGATAAAAGTTCTAATTATTTAATTTAATTTATAATTTTATTTCAGTTCAGTTTTTGCTATTGACACAAATTTATTCACTTTATATATTGTCTTATTTAGTGGCTTTCAAAGTAATTTTTATTTGTCTGAAAGGTATACTACTTGTATTTGTTATAAATTTATCATTTTACTGGCTGTTTTAAAGTGAACTTATAATTTTTGTTTTTGATATTGAATTGCACTAATTTTTAAATGTTTTTGCCAAAATGTATATGGAAATTCTAGTATTATGAATTTACTTTTTAGAATCACCCCCACTCATTGTCCTTGCCCTTTCTATGTCCTCTTTTCCTTGTCAACCTAAAAAAATATAATTATCTACAAAATATAGTTCAGGTAAAGGTTCAACTAAGATGTACCTCCAAGCTTTTCCTATGACCTCCATCTTCAACCTCCACAGTTTAATCAGCTTCTGTCTGTGCTATTTTTGTACATTGTGCATCTTCTGTTGTTATACACTTCTCATCAAATTGTAGTTTACTTGTTTAGCTAACTTTTCCTCCAAAAGGTGAGCTACTTGAGGATGAGAATTTGTTCACCATCACTGTGATTTATTTATCTATTCCCTGAGTCTACATTGCCATGTGCATTGTAGGCACATATAGCAAATAGAAGTGTATGCATTCCTCATATGGCAACTTACCTGCTCCTGAGAGCGGACAACCACTGTACTAAAATCAGGCCACTTGTCCACCAGGGCCTTTAGCTTGAATGGGTTTCCCTGGTTCATGTGGAAAACAGTCCCATACACCTGTACATGATGAGAAAGTGAGAAGGTCAGCTTATTGAGAAGAGATGGACCAGTGCCCTGTTTCATCAGGATAAGAATTATTTCTATGAAATTAGCATAAGTAACTCGTAGGGCACCTACTTCAAACTGTCTACTTTATTACTCCAATGGAAATAGATTTTGGGGTCAAACCATGAGAACATTATATAAATGTGGTCAAGTATCCAGATATATAAAATAAATTAATGAAAAATTATTCATGGTCACAATGTAGAATTCAGTGACATATCTTTCCATTTTATTCCACTTGCTTACATAGTTACACCTAATTTTTAAATAATGACAGAACCTAATCTCCATCCACACACACATACACACACTGTGCAATGATTATACATTTTTTAATCCTCACCCAAGGATATGTTTTTTATTAATTTTATAGAGAGAGGAAGGGAGAGAGAAACATGGATGTGAAAGGCAGCATTGATAGATTGCCTCCTGTACACACCCAAAACGGGGATTGAACCTGCAACCTGTATGTGCCCTGGTAGGGAATTGATCTTGCAATCTTTTGGTATATGAGACAATGCTCCAGGCAACTGAGTCACCCAGCCAGGGCACTATGATCATATTTTTGACAGTGTGGTGATTCTTCCTCAAGGGCACCCATTCTTCCCTTCATTCAAGGGGTTCTAGGTCTGTTATCTGGAATTAATTGAGACACAATGTTTTTCTGTATGATTCAAGTAAGACCTTTGAGTTTGTGTAAAGTACTTGTTGTAATCCTCATACTTAGTAAATGTTTCTGAAGTATATTAACTTTATCATATTTTATTTGGTAACCCTGGTAAAGTTTAGAAATATCTACCAAAAAGTATTGATTTTCTAGTTTTACTTATGTTATATCCAAGAATATGGAGACTCATATATATTTACTCTTGCAATGTTTCCTAGGAAACAGTGAATTGTGGAATCACAACAGTATGACTCTAAACCCTGCCTTCTTCATAATTGCTCTATCCTATGTCAATCAGAACAATCAGTGATTTGGGTTTGCACTAAATGCCTGTAACTTAGTCTACAAAAGATCCCTACATATGGTGTCAGAAAGCCTACGAAAATCGAAGACTTTTGGTAATTTGTGCTTTTCGCAGGACATAAATTGTGAAAATTATGTATTTCATGTCGCTAATAGTATGTCCTTGTTTATCCTTATAATGGCCATTGGGTTTGTAGTAATGTCCCCTATTTAATTCCTGTCATGGAAAATTTGTCTTTCTTTAAATTTCTTGGTCAATTTGACTATTAATCTTTTCAAAAAACCAGATTTTAGAGACATTGGTTTTTCTTAATTGTTTTTCTCCTCTCAAATTCATTGGTTTCAGCTCTTATCTTTTATAATTTTCTTAGTTCTGTTTGCTTTGGAGTTAATTTACTCGTTTTTGCTAGTTTTAAGGGTGAAAACTTAAAGCATGGATTTGAGAGCATTATTCTTTTATAGTACAACTAGAGAATGCTATATATTTCCCACTTATTCTTGCTTTAGTTGCATCCCAGAACTTTAGAGATTGTGTATTTCCATTCCAATAAAGTATTTTCTAATTTTTTGTATGACATTAAAGCATGATTTATTTATAAGTGTATTGTATAATTTCTAAATGTGTAGGTATTTCCCAGATTTTTCCAGGTTTTGTTAAATTTTAAATTTAATTTCATATTGTTCAAGGATATACTTTATATTATTTCAATTTTTTCAAAAATGTTTTCAAATATCATTTATCTTGGCAAATGTCCAATGTGCATTTTAAAATAATATATATTTTACTGTTGTTGAGGAAAACATTCCATATCAGTTAGTAAAAGTTGGCTCATAGTATTGTTCATATCTTCCATATCCTTATAGGTTTTATGTCTGTTCTCTAAATTATTGAGAGAGGAGTGTTGGAGTCTTAAATTATATCTGCGGGTTTACCTGTTTCTTCTTTTAGTTCCATTAGTTTTTTCTTCATGTACTCTAAGCCTCTGTATATATTTTAGCATTTTTTTGGTCTTTTTGGTGAATTGGTACCTTGATCATAATGCTATGGCATTTATCCCTGACAATATGTTAGTCCCTTTGCAGCATATATTATTGCAATAAAAATAAAACTAAAACAACCAGAAAAACCTTCTCTATGGTAAAAGATCATTGTTCCATTTCTAAATCTAAATATCTGTGTCACCTCAAGTGAAACATAATAGATTTGGGTATGAAAAAATAGAAATTGATCTGTAATTAATTTCAAAGAAGAATCAAATTGATTAAGCTTTCATCAGTTACTTGATTGTTTAGAAAAAAAATAATTTAAACATGAATGCATTAGTTACAGCCAACTTTGAAATTCTGGAAATACTTTCATTGCTATCCAACACTACTCTTAGAAGGGCACCAGGAATGATCTTGGATCATCACACAGCAAAGACCATAGTGGGTTCATGTCATAGCGTTGCCACTCATTACTGGTGTGATCTTGATCGAGTCATATAACTGCCAGATCCTCTTAGGTTACATGAATATAATAGACCTGCCTGGCAACAAGATGATGTGAACTATGTGAGATGCAAGATGAGTGAGTGACTGGCACAGAACAGGGGCAAATTCTCTTTCCCACGTTTTTCATAGGCAGTCGCTATTCCTTTTTTCCCTAGGAGGTTGCACTCTCACCTTTAGAGACTCAGGGAGGCATTTCCTCAAGGATTTCTCTAGCATCTGCAGCAGTTGTGGGCCTTGTAATTGGAACATCTTGGCAGGGACCTTATCCTAAAGAGGGGATCAAGAAACAGCAAGGAATGAGAAGTGCTAGATGACATACTAAGACACAAAACAGACCCTATAGGCAGTTCTAGCCTTTATCCCAGCCATTTCATTGGTGCCCATTCACTAAACTCTTCACCAACTCTAAGGAAGAATAAGTCTGGCAGAAAGCACAGATGCCTCTTTCTGAAATTATTTGTACTGTTTTTAACCTTTAAAAAAATATATTTCTGAAAACATTATTTTGAATTTTACATCATCCAGCATTCCAGTAATTAAGGATTCACAGAGATTAAGAAATATATTCTTCTAAGCATGAATGAGCATCCATTGAGATTAAGCTTCCATTCATGACAAACCTTACTTTGCCAGTTAGAAGCTATGTGACATAGGACAAATTACTTAATTCCTCTGCCTTGATTTTCTCCTCTATAATTGACAATGTACCTGCACCACAGAGTAATTGAACAGTTAAATAAATCAGTACATGTAAGTTTCTTAGAAGAGTGTCTGGGACAAAGCAAGTACTTAACTAATGATTATAATCAGAATTCTGTTTATTATTATCATTAGTAGAAGCAAAATTTAACCACATATTATCCAAAAAGTCTTTTGAGTGACTTTTTCTGCACAAGAATTTCTGATAAAGTTTAAATGGGGGAGAACCCATAGAATCTGACATGTGATAAATGAGACATTTAATCTTTATTTATTTATTTATTTATTTATTTATTTATTTATTTTTATTAAATTATTATCTGTGTATATATTTTAACATTGCCCCCCTCCCATACATACCCTCCCTCCCCAGAGTTTTGTGTCCTTTGGTTGTACTTATATGCATGTATAAAAGTCCTTCGGTTGATCTATTATCTCCCCCAGATCTTCCTCCCCTCCCCGCTGTAATTTGATAGTCTGCTTGTTGTTTTACTGTCTCTATATCTATCTTTTGGTTCATCAGTTTATAATGTTCTTTATTATCCACAAATGAGTAAGGTCATGTGGTGTTTCTCTTTCATTGACTGGCTTATTTCACTCAGCATGATGTTCTCCATTTCCATCCAGGTTGCTGCAAATGATGAGAATTCCTTCTTTTTTATGGCAGCAGAGTATTCCATTGTGTAGATGTACAACAGTTTTTTGATCCAATCATCTGCTGACGGACACCTAGGCTGTTTCCAGATTCTAGCTATTGTAGATTGTGCTGCTATGAACATAGGGGTGCATATATCCTTTCTGATTGGTGTTTCTAGTTTCTTGGGATATATTCCTAGGAGTGGGATTACTGGGTCAAATGGGAGTTCCATTGAAAAAAATAATAATAAATTTTTTTAAATTTAAATAAAATTTGCAGTACTGAAGGTCATTCGCTTCCTCTATTGTTATGATCCACTCCTGATTTTTAGGCAGGTTTTGCTTTGTTTTTATTACACTAGAGTCAACTTGTGAATTAGCCTCTGGGGGCAGAGTTTCTAGGTTGACTTCCCAGACTCTAGAGCAGGCGTCGGCAACCTTTAAGACATAAAGAGCCACTTGGACCTGTTTTCGAAGGAAAAAAAAAACCTGGGAGCCGCAAAACCATTGCGACATTTAAAACAAATATAACACTGCATATATTGTTTCTTACCTTAATGCTATATACCGGATCGTGCAGTTAGCTGTCAATCTGAAGAAAAAAAGGACTTTTTCACTTAACAATGTAAAATATATTTTTGCAAATTAATAGCTAATTAAAATATTTAATTTACCTGGTTAATGGGATTTTTGCTCCTGAACCTCAGTGCACAGTGTCTGCACATCAGGGCTGTTAAGACTTTACCTTCATTTTCACACAGGCTTGCAAGTTGTCATCTGTGAGGCGTAATCGATGTTTGTTTTTAATATAGTTCATGTTGGAGAAGACCTGCTCACATACATATGTGGAGCCGAAGATCGACAGGACTCCAAATGCATACTTTTTCATGTTTATATAAGTGTTGGGATGTTTACATGTTTCGAATACAAGTTTGTCCTGTTTGGGAAGGTTTTCAATATCACTCCATTTATGATTCTGAGCCAGAATGGCCTTCTGACGGGCAACATCCTCAAGAGTAGCGGCCAAGCATTTGAACTTGGACACCCATATATCTTTGCCGGCTAAATCGGCCAGTTCCATCTCAAATGCAGTCATATTCAATAGGGATGATCGATCGCCAAGGGAGTGACAGGGAAGGATAATGTGTTTTTTTCCTCTCTGAACTCACAGAATCGTTTCCCAAACAAACTTTGCCTTCTGGTGATTGCAGACTTCAAATATTCCAAATTTATCGTATCATGACTTTGTTTGAACTCTCTCAAAGAGGGAAAGTGAGACAGTGTACCTCTCTGTAAATCTTTGACAAGCACTGTCAACTTGCACTCGAATGTCAAAACCTCCTCCAGCATGTGCAGGGCTGTGCTTCCTTTCCCCTGAAGGGTTGTATTTAGTGTGTTTAGATGTGCTGTCATGTCTACCATAAAATGTAATTTTTCCAGCCACTCTGGTTGTTCCAGCTCAGGAAAGGTGAGCTCTTTGCTGGCCAGGAAAGTTTTTACTTCTTCCAAACATGCGACAAAGAGTTTTAGCACCTCGCCTCTGGACAGCCACCAGACCTTGTTGTGGAGCAGGAGGTCAGAATATATGCTTTCCACTCACTGTACAGGCCCGACTCCCAGTGACAGTCACACTGCAAGCCCTCTCTTTCTCTTTCTCCAGTCCTCTTTGTCCTCTTCTTTTTCCTTCTCCCTTTTTTCTCTTTATTGCTTTTTTATTATTATTATTTTTCAGTGTCCCCTCTGTCAGCACCTCTCTTTCCCCTCGCAGCAGTCTCCTCCGCCCCAGCTCAGAGGTGCACAGGCTGTGATGTGAGGGAGGAGGCTGGGCCAGGACAGGGACACTGTGGTTGCCTAGCAACGCTAAGTCACCAGCAACCTGCCACACAGAGCGCCAGGAGCGCCGGAGGCGCGGAGATAAGTGATACAGCTCCCATCCCCCTCTCATCCCCCCACCTACTATCGGCCGGCTGGGAGCCACAGCATAGCTTCAAAAGAGCCGCATGCGGCTCCGGAGCCGCAGGTTGCCGACCCCTGCTCTAGAGCCTCTGCAGCTTTTTTTTTTTTTTTTTTTTCCTGTCCTCTCTGCAGCAGGAACTACGGAGGGGGGGAGGGGGCAAGTCCGAGCAATTGCAATCTCCCGCAACTCTCCGATATCCCTCCGAGCCAGATCCAAATGTGTTGCTCTTTAGATATCTCCCCTGATAGGAGCCCCGTCCACTTTCACGGTGACACCCGCCCAACAGCTGGGGCTTCTACTTGTAATCACCGCCCAGGTCCTCCAGCTTCTGCTCGCTCTGTGCGCGCAGGCTTTTGTCTTCGCCGCCAGCACTCTCCACCCTCTCCCCTCGAAATCTGACCTTTTCGCCGAGCTGTGGGGCACTCCTGTGAGGCCAGGTGTTCTCGCGCCGCCTGGGATCCGCGTTCTGGGGGTCACAGCTGCTTGGTAGTTGCTGTGGCTGTGGATATTCAGGCCTCTGACACGATCCTATCTTCCTCTCAAGATGGCGAGGTTTCCCTATCCAAGCCGGCAGGTAGCTCCGGGCAGGGACGCAGCCCGCGTGGGTGCTTCCCTGTGAGGGGTACTTCTGTCAGCGGCCCCCCAGCAGTTTCTTCTGGTGTTCGCTGTCTCCCAGCTTGCTAATAAACATTCACAGCTCAAGACCATCAGCTGCTCTCTCTTTCTGCTTCGGGACAGGGCTCAGAATCCGCCCATCTATTCTTCTGCCATCTTACCTCCTCAGAGACACTTAATCTTAAATCTTACAGTATGCCTGCCTTAGAGTAGTACTCAATATGTGTCAGCATTTTTATTATTGTTATCACTTTAACTTAAATAAAGCTAAAACTTTTCTTACTTCTAGATCCCAAAAATATTAAAGAACCCTTATATAGGAGACAAATAAATGATGTAATGAAACATTTTCCAAACTCAAGTATGTGTTAGAGCAGTGGTCAGCAAACTGCAGCTCATGAGTCACATGCAGCTCTTTGGCCCCTTAAGTGTGGCTCTTCCACAAAATACCACAGCCTGGGGGAGTCTATTTTGAAGAAGTGGTGTTAGAAGAAGTTTAAGTTTTAAAAATTTGACTCTCAAAAGAAATTTCAATCATTGTACTATTGATATTTGGCTCTGTTGACTAATAAGTTTGCCGACCACTGTGTTAGAGACATCTAAAATAATTAAAATTACTTAATCCTGCTTCTGGTATTTTGTTGTTTAGAAGTTCTTAAGGGAATATGAGATGTATAATTATATATATTTTTTTAAAAAGTTCTTTAGGCTATTTTTATTACTGTTGTTCAGCTTAATTAAGATATAATTTACATACAATAAATCCTCAACAATACTTTTCAAATCAGGAAAGCAAGAAGAGCTAATTCTCAAAGTTGGCCAAAAGGCTGGGGTCAAAGTGTATTTCAGTATATGCAATTCTTTGGCAGATGGACAATATTGAACTTTACCCAAGTCCTGTTATCCTGGAAAACATGAGTGGTTAAAGAATTTCTTCACCGACTTTGCATTCCTGAAATGGCTCACTGCAAGGAGCAAGCCTTCCCCCATCTGACTTAAGGCACATGGTGGTCCCCCTTGTTTACCTCTAATAAAGCCAGATGCTGATGCTCCAAATTCCCAGTGTTTGTCTCATGAATGATTAGCTAACTATGGATCCCCACTAACATTTCAGAACAAACTGCTTTAAACCAAATTTGAGTTCATTTTCTCTCCTTCCCCTCAACTGAGTCAGCATATAACCCCTACCAAGAAGAGGCTGACCTCAGGGTAAAACATTATCTGCACTGTGTGCATCCTGCCTCTCTTGCAGTCCTCGCTTCCTTTCAGGATTCTCTCTAGACCTGTTTACACTTCCCTCATAAATGGTTAGCAAACCAATCTACCAGGACAAAGTTCTGAT